AACAGTAATAAATATTACCACAATTTGCTTCAGAATACTGGTTTGGCTAGTATTTTCTGGTACCAATCAATCAAATAAGTGACATGTCCAATGGAAGATACAATATACACGTACACTACAGATCTTTCCTTTGTGATTGTGAAAAAAATCTTTTGGTTACATCTACAAATTAGTCGTTCTAATTTTATAATTTCATTGTGATCAGATGTACCACTGTGCATGTTTTTGAATATGTATCAGTGTGTTACTTTGGCTGTTTTTGTAGTTTTACTAAGCATTGTATGTATTGTATTTGCAGGATGATGCAGAGTCTGTGTGGGATGATGAGGATGGCAACGATGTTGTGCCAGACATCAACCAGGACTCTTCATATTCACCCACAGATCTTAAGTAGAGCATACACCATCTGTTTGCGGTTGTGGACTGGTTCAAGCCTTGTTGTAATCAACTTGGTTATATTTCCCCTTTCTCTGTGTGGCAAAACAAATGTCTCAACTCAGGCTCTGCTTCATATGTACCAGATCAGAGGATTGCTGTCTGCTCAGTATGAGTGCAACAGAAGCTTCATGATTGTCAGCAAGTTGCCAAGTCTTTTTATGTGAGATTGTTAGTGTGTATATGTTAAGATACATTGAGGCAGCTTCAACTGTAACTTCATGTATATGTATATGGGCCCATGACCTTTCATACAATAAACATTTGAATGTTAATTTGAAATCTGTTTAATAAATACCACAGCAAATATGTTATGCCTGCACTAGTAGACCTCATTTCATCATATGCATAAAATGTTGTAGTTTTTTAACATATTTGTATTTGCATATTCATACAGAATTTGTGTTCTCCAATGCTGAAGATTACCTCTTGATGTGGCCATACACACACACACATACATTGTTGAGTTCTGTTGAAATGTGAGCTATTCAAAATAATGAAACAGATGAATCATAACAGTGACTGTGTTACTGCGTTTGTTGTTTTTCGTGTAAAATATAATAAATGGTACATTCACAAGTTATGCAGAATGGTAGTGAGTGAGTTACAAAGTCACATCGGCAGCCATATCGTGACTATGAAAGTCGTAACTCTAAATTTGTAAATGTGTACATGAAATAAAACAAACTTATTTCTTACCTGTCTTCGAAGGACAGTAACATAACTAGTCTATCACAAATGTACACTACAAACTGGCATGTAACCATAAACACTATAACGGTACAGTATAAAAATGGGCTATAGGTTGCCAACACCTGAAGGTTGATCAATATACTAGGGACTGCGGCACGTACAGTACTTTTGCTTCCTGCATGGACCCTAGAAGGATTCTATATATACAAAATTATCTTGCAAATGTAACAGTAAGTAAATATAGTCCCCAATGGAAGGTTTCCGCATTTTGCTATGAATGTTTCAGCGAACTGAAACTAAATGAAAACGCATAATGATAGTTTCAGTTGTAGAAACTTGACGGAAACCTAGATTTGTTAGTTTCAGTTTTGTAAACTATGCGGAAACTCGCATTGTCTGTTTCCGGATACTGAAACCTAGCGGAAACGTACATTACCCAGTATGCATTAGGTTTCCGCAAGAACGGAAACTCAGTTATTTTTGCTGTGAACTTTATTACGAGTTATGATACTAGTAATCACTTTCAGAATAATTTTATTAGTAAATATATTATTTAAAAAAGCAAAGATATCTTAAAACAAGAGTCAACAAGTTAGTTAGTACCAAGTGATTGTTCTGCCATGATATGTATATGGTGTTTAATTTGTTTGCCTATATAAAATCACATGAATCTGATATGTCAGTCAATTAAGTAATTATTTATAATTGATTAGATTATTATTTATTTTATTACCTTTCCACGTTTACTAAAGGATGCAAGATTCTTAAAACATACCTTGCTATCATGTCCAGTGAATTAATTAAATTGACAGTTCTGTTATTACTCCTAAAATGTACCAATATACCTCCCCTACATGTAAAAACATTATGTTGTAACAAAAATTCAAAACAAATAATGTTCTCATAGTTAAGAAATATACTTTTATTTCACTCCGTTTAATATTCCAGAAAGTCACTATTCTTCTCACATAGCTTTCATCTCCGATCCACACAGAGTAAGGTATAATTCAATTCAAGGTCCCATCTCTTTAAAGAAATTCTAAAATATTTAAGGCATGGTTTTATAGACACTAATTTGAATTAATTTTGATATTTGGATAGGCAACTGCTGACACTGACTACATTTCCGTTTGAATAAAAACATATTACTCCTCGAATATTTTGCACTATTAACAGATACTGTGAGTAGGCCTTCAAATTGTGCTTGTGAAACTATAAAACATCCAAAAATGTGTGACAAATTTAAGAATATCTAAGAGTGAAGGCAACAATATCCACCACATTGTCCTTTAATGTAACAAGTTTTGCTATTTCGGTCGAACCTAACCGAAATCAGATCGCTGTCAGATTTGTTAACATTGTGTCACGGCTTTCTCGCCTGTCTCATTTCAGCTTCATGGCGTGCCAACTCAATGCCCAGTATTGACTAAAACGTTAAGCAAAAACATTTTTGTAGTTACAAAAATTGTCCGTGTTTATAACACTTGCAAAGACTTAAACTGCTATTTGTTGTCATTCATTGCTAATGATTTTGCACGTGTGCGAAAGTGTGCAAATTCGTGCAAATTCTCACCTTCGAGCAAACGTAGGTTTCGTGAACGATATATGCCGACATTTAACTGATCGCGAGACCTATCGCACTACTTGATCGGCCTCAAATCTTTTGTCTTGATCGTAATGGTTGTGTTAAAGGTACACATGAAATCGCAGCAATATGTAATAGATATAGCAAGTGTGAATGGCATAATTCGAAGCACATCGCTTTGGAGGCATCGTTTGACCCCGGAAATAAGTCTGACAAATCCACAAAGCGCGCCCGGCCTGCTGATTGGCCAAAATTGACGCATGCGTCAGTTTTGATTGACAGACTGGATCGGTCTATTGACAACATGACCTGAAACAGTGAATAAACTAGCTAACAACGTCCAATGATTAACCAACTGACAACATGACTCGCAACAATTAATTAATATCATATCAACTGAGAAAATGACCTGAAAATACAACGTAACCATCCGACAAAATGGCCATAAACAATCACTAAAACAACCTGACATAAAGACCGGAAAAAGTAAATAGATAACCTGACAATTAGTAACTAAGTCAACTGGCAACGTGACCTGAAAGAGTGAATAAATCAACTGACAATATGACCCGGAACAGCGAATACATTAGCTGATCACATGACCCGGAAAACGGAAAGCGGAAACCCGGCAACACGAGCATCTAACGTGAATTAGCGAATCGTTGTACAGCCAATGAAGACCAGAACAAGGAAAGAAAATGCATTAGCGATAAGATACACCTCGGACGTATGACTGATAAACAGATTCACGGTCAAGTGTAAACAGAACCCTATTGAAATGTCAGTGATCAGGTCATCTATCATATCTCCAACTCAGCCAGTTCAACATTTACACTTTTATACAAAAAGTGTATTAAACATGTTTAAGCTGATGTTTTAGTCAAGGTACACCTATATATTACTTACATTGTATATATATCATTGTCGTGATATGCCATTGTGCATTATTACATTTCTACATCAGGCACATAGCAAGGATAATGCAGAGTGTAGGCACAAATGATGAAACATTTTGAAATCAGGCAGAGTATATCACACTCAAAGTAAAACATTCTTCTGAACACGAGACAAAGTTAAGACGAACATCAATAACATGGTAAGACATGTAAACCATAAAAATTCACCCCAATATACCGGATCGAACTGAAGCAGACCCTGACCAAGTTCATATTGTAAATAGTTAAGTACTAAAACATCTTAAAGAAAACTCGAAACACTTCAGCTTCAAAGCATACGTTGGATCTGGACAGAGGGATTCAACAAACTATCACAGCATCATCAGGTCATCACAGATGTCGGTCATAGAAGAGCCAGTCTTCTTGCTTGACATTGTGCGAATATGTCATTGACTTAATTTGTCAATGTGTACCACGAAATCACAATATACGTGAATAAGTGCAAGTGAAGACAATCTGCTGACCTGAGGTAAGTCTTAAAGCGTGTCACTGTGCTGAAAGACCGCACCCTGTTGCATAGGACACGGCCATATGGATGTGAGGATAAAGATCCTCCTTGGCAAAGTAGAGAGTTGTTTGCAGACAAGATGGCCTTTCTTCAATGGCTATGTCCTGCCAACGGCATTTCCACCATCGGACTTCAACATGTCAATGTCTCAATCTCTATGTCGCTTTGACGCAACATGCCCCTAAATTTCATCAGTAAGGTTGTGCAGTGAGCTAAGCACTAGGTACTGTGCTTCAAAACGACCATTAAGTACAATTTTTATCAACCTCTGCCCCATTTGCTGAGAGATGTGGTCATGAAGAGGTAACGATTGTTTCAGTCAATTTGGGTTGTTTAGCAAAGTAACAATCAATGGACCTGATGAACGTTTTGCAGATTTCTCCTCATTTCTGCACATAACAAAATATACAATACTTAAGGGGGTAAAACAATTTCAAAGAACTAACGATTTCGGACTGAAGTGTCAGCCTGTTTCCAGACATAACTTATTGCATAGAGTAGACAAAACACGTTTTGTCTATAAATGATCCGCGAAGCAAGTTGCGTTCGGGTACCACGGTATTGTACCAGAAACCACACAGAAAACATGAACACAAATTAAATGTTATTTTTTAGCATCTTGAATCACAACATTTTTTCGGTCAATTTTAAAGTGTAAGCACGTGCTTTTTGTGCTACGCTGTAGCTACGCCACTGTACATGACAAGATCAAATAGATACAGTTCATACATTCTCACAATAACACAACGTAACATGAGTGGGTGCAGCATAACATGGGCATTTATTATGAATATAATCGTGTTATTATGACTGTTACACTTACCAGGATATCAAAGATGTGAAAATCTCCACAGCAATATCTGGACGTCCTTGTCAACAACTACGATCTCATTAAACCGAAAGTAGAAACACAACCTTGGCTTTATGCCAGCGAGAAAACCCACCTGTAAATAGAAATGTCGTCACTCGACATATATATGGCCTATGCAGTATACAGTGAATATTTATTTATAGATTTATTACATGGGTGAAGCACGTTGGGTGCCGTTGTTTAGACTTCTATTAGACGTTGAATATGCACAACCCATGCACGTGTTGCACATCGACGTGAAGTTGGTTCTCTGGGCTAATTGGTGACCTGTCTTTAACAGGTTCGACGCCGGGGCTCTTGGAAGTCGGAGTTAGCCCGATTTACGAAAGGTTTTCAATCTGCGTGTACATGTCATGTTTCGTACGTCGACCACAGGGTTGTGTGGTTACTATGGACTAAACGGCACGTGTCCTAGCTTTCACGTAATTTGTGACATGTTTGGATGATGTCAGGTTTTCCCACCCTCAAACCACCCGAAGGCAAGTCCCATGCGTGTGACGGGGACCAACACAGCTCAGATTTGATAACAAACATGTTTGATCACTGACATCCCGTTTGCCCCAATTGTCTCACAAAGGGAGAAAGATATATATGCAGGCATATCATATATCAAAATGATGCCATGTGCATGAAGTATCTGAGGTTGTCACGGGGTCGACGTGGGGCTCCTGGTTGGTTGACCACGTGTGTGTGGAGCGTGGCGCTTGGGCATTGGGGTGTGGAGCGTGGGGAGAGGTGTATGGAATGTGGTGTGTGAGCCTTGAGCGTGGAGATAGGTGTCTGGAACGTGGTGATTAGTGTGTGGTGACTGGTGTGTGGTGTGAAAAGCGAGGGGATTGGTGTGTGGAGCGTGGTGATAGGTGTGGTGAGGTGTTGTATTATGGTGCAATATTGTGATGTAGTGTTGGTGTTATGCAGTCTAATTCATGTGGTATAGTTACCCCTGTCCGTGGGCGGTCATGATTATCACATTCATGGACTGTAAACGCCGTCGCATGGATAATTTGAAGATTGAATGGAAGGATGGATGGATGATGAATTGGCGAGTAGATTATTGGTGGATTATAGGAGGGACCGAATGAGGGATGAGTTGGCAGATGGATGAGTTGGTGGTATTAAGAATCCGGATCCGAGGAGTGATGGCTATATGGGTGGAGAAGAGTGTGTATGTGTTGATTCATGGACGAATGGATGGGTGAAACAGTGGATGGGCGGTCGGGCGGATGGAAAGATAGACGAGCAGAAGTAGTAACGAATAGTTGGATGCGGGAGTGGGTAGAGGGATGCATAGGTGGAGGATAGGTTGGGTGGAAATGTGATTGGATGGCTTCACAACCTTCTGGCCTTTCAGACTGGTTAGGTCGTTTAGAGTCCATGAATGTGAGAATCATGACCGTCCACTGACAGGGGTAGCTATGCCACATGCATTAGACTCAGGGCACTTGAAGTTTTATTATAGATTCACGAGACGACACAATATATATACGAACACAATTTGCACAACAACAACAACAACAACAACAAAATAGATGCCAGTCTCATCCAGACTGGTTTATCAACAACATACTGTTGTGATATAGCCAAATATTGCTGACTGTCGCTCTCAACAACATTGATTCTATCGAAGTCACACTGAAAGGATGTATGCATAACCCTAGTATTAGAATACCACTTGTGATTTATCCAAAATGTGTCAGCATTTTGCACTGAAGGTTCCACCTTCTGACTCATATGGATGCCTGGACAATGAATGGTTGTGCAGAGATTTGTGTAAATCTTGAAAGCTATCCCTAACTGAATCTTTCCTTTCCTTCAGGAAGCAGTTACAACAAAGCCCGTGAGTGTACAATTTTACTTCCAATTGGTTGTTAAGAAGTCTCTCCAAATGAACGTATTTCAATAGTTATGTCAGAACCAGACGTGAGTATATACCCAGTTGTTCTTTCCAGCTGGTTTGTTACCACGTTACATCAAATGGAACATAATCATTAATGTAAACTATGACTCCTTATGTTATCATGTCATGTTTGCTGTAAAGATCAGATAAGTCACAGGGGTTCTGGCATATTTGACATAAATGCAATGGAAATGTAACATCTTTAACCATATGACTCCACAGAAAATACCCAGTTCACCCCAGCGTCCCTGTGGAGTTATAAAATCAATATGAACATTTACAACAATCAATTAGTAGATTGGTAAGATAAGTCAGTGATGGAAGAGCATAAATGGTAACATCTTGATCGATTGGTGGATGAAGGGTGAATAATTGAATGGATGATAGATGTGCAGATGATGGATGGACTGATGGATGGGTCGATGGATAGATTGTGATGTGAGGATGTTTGGACGGATAAGCGGAAGGAGGAATGAAGGATGGATGGTGGTGAGTGGATGGATGAGAGGGTTTGGTATAGGCCGATGAAGGACTGAAGGACCAGATGATCGAAAGGCAGACGGATGGGCGGGTGAATGGTCGACGGGCGGATTGAATTGAGAAATGGAATAGTGGATGAATGATGGCTGATGGATGAATGAACAAATGGGCGGAGCATGGATGATTGATGGGTGGATGGATGAAGTAATCAATGGATGGGTGGCCGGATTGGTGGTAAGTGGAAGATGGACACGACGATGGATGGATGGATGTGTGGAATGATGGGTGGAAGGGTGGATGGTTGACGAATGATGAAGTCATATGTCCTGAAATACTAGGATGGGATAGTCAAGCTATGTTATATCTTAGAGGGAGTGATTGAATATGGATATACTCAGGTTTTAGTTCCCTCAATATCACGGCGGTGAACACCAGTAATCTTCAACTTACATTGTACCCATCAAGGAAACGAAGCGGAGACAAAGTCAACCGTTAAACACAACTGGTGGATTAAATGTGATTTACAACATGCCAAGATTGTCAATCGAAACAAGGCCATTTAACGTGTATATGTATATCTATCTGTATATATATGCTTGATGTTGTTTCAGGGGAGTACAACGCCCTACAACGTAAGTACATTTCCAATATGTTGTAGAGTTCACTGTTCTAGGTAGAAAGTGTGAGTGGGTGGATAATGGGCGGGCATAGATGTGAATGTCTGGCTTCACAACCTTTCAGCATTTCAGGCTGGTTAGAGAGTGTACAATCCACATTACATTTACCAAGATTCTTCAGACACAGCAAGCGTGAGGTCTTGGTATAGATTCACAAGATGTCACAAAATATAGACCAGCACAATTATAAACAAATAGTGTGTTACATAAAGTACGAGAAAAACAATAAATTTATGAAACTGCTTTACACATTTCAAGGCACGGCCAGCGCTGTGACGTCATCGATAATCGGGATTGTTCTCTGCGTTGGGGGCGTAGCCAAGTGCTGTAGACCGTCCTTCTTCAGGCAGTCCAAGGAAAATACACATCACAAAATGAGGAAGTGTATAAATGTCATTTCGGTTCTGAATATTTCTAAGTGCCATTCTATATTTTAACCAAGTTCTTTGAGTTTGTTAATAACGCGATTTATCACGTTTCACTTATTCGTTAACCAAGAAAATAGTTATACACTGTGTATTTAGATATTTTTCAAATCTAGATATTGAAACCGTCGAGATGGACACGGGTTGTTTAGGTTATTCTAAGACATACTAGGATCTAGGCTCCTGGGTTCGAATCCCTAATAAGTATCCCTGTTTTGTCAGTACCACACCTGGTAAACCCATCACCCGAGCTAATCTCTCATATTGAGACAAGATGTTCATATGTAAGTCCCATACGAAACACAGATAAACTTACAATGCCATGTTATGTGGTCAGTGTTAAATAATATCGCTTCTTGTGTGGAAGTGATTGAGCAGGTGATGACGGGAGTAAGGGTTGGGCTGGTGTTACTGGGAGTAAGGGCTGGACCGGTGATGCTGGCAGTAAGGACTGGACCGGTTATACTGTCAGTAAGGGTTGGGCTGGTGTTACTGTGAGTAAGGGCTGGACCGGTGATGCTCGCAGTAAGGACTGGACCGGTGATGCTGGCAGTAAGGACTGGACCGGTTATGCTGGCAGTAAGGGTTGGGCTGTGCTGGCAGTAAGGACTGGACCGGTGATGCGGGCAGTAAGGGTTGGACCGGTGATGCTGACAGTAAGGACTGGACCGGTAATGCTGGCAGTAAGGGTTGGCTGTTGATGCTGGCAGTAAGAAATGGACCGGTGATGCTTGGAGTAAGGATTGGGCCGGAGATGCTGGGAGTACAGATTGGACAGGCGATGCTGACCGTAAGGATTGGGCCGATGATGCTAGCAGTAGGAGAGACTGCACCGCTGCCACTGATCATTTTACCATCCTGCTTGCTCAAGCCTTTGGCTGTTACCGTAATTACAGATATTGCCCTACGTATTTCTACTCGAGATCATCTCTTGCGCGATGTTAAGAAGATTTTACAGCCGCTTCGTAGAATGAAGTTATGGGTGAGTGAGTGAGTTCAGTTTTACGTCGCACTCAGCAATATTCCAGCTATATGGCGGGGGTCCTTAAATAATCGAGTCTGCACTAGACAATCCAGTGATCAACAACATGAGCATCTGCGCAATTGGGAACCGATGACATGTGTCAACCAAGTCAGCGAGCCTGACCACCCGATCCGTTAGTCGCCTCTTACGACAAGCATGGGTTACTGAAGGTTCATTCTAACCCGGACCTTCACGGGCAGCTTCCGTCATGAATACAGAATTTTTGGGTTTGCCTCAGTCCTTACGATAATATCTGATAGTTCACTGGTTCACCAGTTCATGTGGCATTGTAAAGCTCTGACAGAAGGGAGGTTCATGACTGTCATTCAAAGCTCGCTCGTAATACCCCCTTGTAATACAAACCAATAATAGCGATTTGAAACTATGATCGTTTGTTAAACAACTTTTATCCTAAGTTGAATAAAATTCTGAGATTTAAAAGTTTAATTGGCAAGGTAAAATCATGAGGATTCGCAATCTGTGATTTACTTTTTTGTTTAAAGTGCACTGCAAACAGACTTTAGATCTGTTGCATCGCGATCCTGTCTGTCCCCTATTCCGGGTCGATCCTTTATCACTACAATTCGTACAGTCGGTTGCATCTCTCCGCAAATTCCACATACGAGTTTTGGTATCTCCTTTCGAGTTTTCTGAAAAGGTACCACACAAACCATATTAGTAAATAGCATAACTATACAGTATAAAGTGTCTTTACATATCTAATGCTGAACAGATGAGGAGAGACACAGGGACCACGTTCACCTGGCTCCATGAAACTAACGATGTTGCAGCAAAGTCGTCACACAGGTACAGTTAACAAGTTACAGTACTCCCAGAAATCAATGAGAATTTGTCCGTTCGTTGTAACTACTCGTCATGGTTACAAATCACAGATAATAATGACATAAAATATATACATATGATAGACAACAATTAATAGTGAGAGAAAATGTCTCCTACTTTGATTAAATTAAATCTAGGACTCGTACGTTACTATTAATAATAACATATAGCTCAATAAATTCTGAGAATACTGTTTATAATGGGATATTCAAGCAGATAACTCTCAATTATTTATGTCCAAAGTTGGCATCTCTGCGCTTAGAGCATGGCGAGTTTTTACCGAGAATCTGGGCTTAAGTTGTTGTCTATCAAAAAGATGGCTGATTGTTTGTGGTCCGCCCGGAAGTTGAGATTGCCTCCCTCCCAAAACGTGGCAGTAGTGCTCTCTCGGAACTTATTTCACTCGTAATCCAACAGAAAACATCGTAATGAGGCACATGTTGACCCTCTTAACAATTTCTTTGTATATATAGAGACTAACAATGTTCATCCTCCGATGATTCCAGCATGAGAAAGACAAGCATGTTCCCATTTCCTCTGTATTTCCTGCAGAGTATTTGGTTTTATAATTTGGTATAAAATATATTTTCATATGAGATTCAAATTCGAGTTGTTGGCATACCTGACATTGTATACAGCGCCACCGATGACGACGGCAACGATGACGAGTATTAATGCACCAGAGGCGCCAAACATCAGCCAACCTGTAAATGTCATTCATCTTTTAATCTTAAAACCATGAAACACAAATGCACTATAATTTGTGTATAATATTTATGTAATTAACATATTTCATTGAAGGCATCTGAAGGACAGAACAAGTTTACTTGCGTACTTGAAGATTGACTGATGTCCAGTAGAGGGTACCAAACCCGATGGAGATTAAAATGATCTGAAAGGTTGGGGCTTCCACGGAGACGCTTACGTTTATTTTAATTTTATTTCTTTCATTCGTGTTTTTAAACACCGATCGATTTGTTTTGTTATGCCATTTGGTCAAGCGACAATTTAGAAATTCTATCTTAACTGAAGTTAGGCTGAGCGGGTTCTGTGAATTTTTCACGCTAATCTTTGACGATAATCACTTGAGTCAAGTTTGCAGTGGTGTCTTTCCTGATCTACGCTAAAATATCTACCAAGAGTTTAGTTTACGTCGCTTTTAGCAATATTCCAGCAATATCACGGCGGGGGACACCAGAAATGGCCTTCACACGGAGTACCCATGTGGGAAATCGAACCAGGGTCTTTGGCGTGACGAGTGAACGCTTTAACCACTAGGCTACCCCACCACGCGTCGCTCAATTATAGATTTATGTATTTGATACCTTTACCTGTTTTACACGTGGGTCCTGTCCATCCAAACTTGCATCCCCGTGGGCAGTGACCTGTTCAGATATTACAGGGATCATCCTCGGCACACAGGCCACACGGCGTACATGCACCATACGTGCTGTTCGGACACATTGTAGAGGTTAGATCATGATATACTATCGTTCTATCAACTGGTCATACATAACCGTCGAAAACTATTTATCAAATAAGTGAAATCATATAATTTGCCTTATCTCGTTTTTGAGAAATTCATATCGTTTATATACCGTGTATTATATACCAGTACCGTGTATGACCGCCATTTGCATTTACCACTCCGGTAGAACGCCTGTAAATGGAATGCACCAAATTGTTGGTAAGGTTCAGTGGAATGTTGGTAACTGTCTGTAGCCCTGCTGCTCAAGGTTTAACAGCATTTGTTGGCCTTGGACGAACTTGGTTCAGTCGTCTTTGAGTTGACCCACAAATGTTCAATTGGGTTTAAGTCGGGACTCATGGATGGCCAGGGCAGAACAACAATGTTGTGATGGTGCAGATGTTGTTGTGTTACCTTTGCGGTCTCGCATTATCATGCTGGTAAATGTGGTTCTGATGTCGGGCAAAAGATGGCACAACATGGGGTTGGAGAGCCTGATCAATGTACCGCTGAGCATTCACACCATTCCCCCTCCCAGGATCAATATTCTGAAACACAACTGGCCCTAATCTCGGGTTGTAGCCAATACCTGCCCATACCACTACACTCGGGCTGTCCAATGCGTTCCTTCCCATCACACACTGACCAGCATAACGTTAACCTCGTCTTCGCCATATCCTGTCACGTCCGTCAGCATGGGAAAGACAAAATCGACTCTCGTCTGAGAAGATCACACGGTTCCACTGGCTGTGACGCCAGTTCAGATGCTGTGTTGCCCCCTGAAGACGTACCTGACGGTGACGTGGGGTCAGTATAGGCCGACGAGCTGGGCGGCGACATTTCATGTTGTTGGACTTCAGTCGACGTCGTACAGTACGGTCACTAATGGTTGTTGGTGAGCTCCAATGGTCCTTTGGGTTGTTTCACTGTCACAGAGAAATGAATCTGCCTGATGTCGACGACAGATGAACTGGTCTTGTCTGGGCGTGCTCACGTTTGGTCTACCACTTCTGGGACGGTCAGCTGTGGTCTGCGTGGTTGCATAACGAAGTTTAAGGCGATAAATGGTCGTAACATGGACGTTAAAAGTACGGGCAACGTCATCCGCGCTTTGGCCTGCATTCAGTCTACCAATAGCTTGATCCCTTTGACATGCATGTAATCTTAGCATCAGCTATCGAATAGTGACAGAGACCAACAATCTTCACCATTTTACAGCCATTTCATTCAGCAAATGCACGTGCATGTTCATTTCACCGTGAAACTTCGAATTCTCGGTACCATGGTGTGTTTTAGCGATATGTTTTAAAAGTGACTAGTAATCTTATTAATGGAACAATTCACAAAATTAAACGTTTAAGCCCAGGAAATGTATTCGCAATGTTTATTTCATACTAAATATGTCAGACTGAATTCCTAAAAAAATTGCGTTTCTTTTGCCTTTCAGTATACAATCAGCAAATGATTTCAGGGCTTCCACCACCAATAAGAAAATATTGATCATTTTTCTTAACATAAACCTTAAATGGTTAAATTTGTTTTTAATGAAGTATCATATAATCATAATCAAATAGTAGAATACTCTTTTGACTTTACATTTCACATTTAAGACTTACCTAGAAGTTCTCTTGCTTGTTTTTTATGTTTATAAGATGATCAGTATAGTTTACAACATTCTATTTGCATTGACTGTCATGTATTTTTATAACATTGCAAACTGCCGGAATACAAGATCTTGACATTTTAGTTGGGTTCGATTCTTGATTTGAATACAATAACAACTGATGTCCCTGAATTCATTCATGTATTCTTTAAGGATTTAGTCTGAGATTCAATCTGTGTTAACTCGAAAATACACGACAGGACGCTCGTGTCTATTCATGAGTGAAGTTGGTGTTGATTTGTCTGCCAGTTAAAGGACAAAGTGTCAGCTTGATTTGGAAGGAAAACAGTTTTGACCTATGACAGTTTTCTAGTAGCTGAACGCTCTCTGACAGAACAGAGACCGAGAAGATCCAGGTTAGATCCATGGTCTTCAGCAACCCATGATTGTCGTAAGAGGCGACTAACGGGATCGGGTGGTCAAACTCACTGACCTGGTTGACACATGTCCTCGTATCCCAATTACGTAGATCGATGCCCATGCTGTTGATCACTGGATTGTCAGGTCTAGACTCGATTATTTACTGCCGCCATATAGCTGGAATATTGCTGATAAACAACGGTAAACAACAAACAAACGAACTGAAAGAACAGAAGTGTCAGCAAAGTCAGTGACGACTGGACGTTTTCTAATTAACTTGATCTTTGTTATATTCATTAATATTATTTTTAAACATCAGCGATTCAAGATTCGCCAGAAAGGACCAAATATCATCTTGTATACAATCTTTGTAGAATAACTTTAAAACATATATTTAAAGCACCCATTCCTTCCGTATCATGTGCTGATAATAATCTTACCTAAAGGGCAGTTGTCTCCCCTCCATCCGGGTATGCATCCAATAGGAGATCGTCCAGTCACGTGATCGCAAGTACTTCCTCTTTTGCAATTGAAACACGTTGACTGACACTTCACTCCAAATGTGCCAGCGTTACAACCTGTAAGGAACGATTTGAAAGCTTTTGATTTACATGTGGAACACTTGATCTAAGCTGGGAGTATGACACCTTAACGGGGAATGAATTAGGAGATAAACCTACTGTGTGGGAAAATCAGAGGTATATAACGAAATTATAATAGCTCTAAATTTCATTTAAAACCGAACGCGTAGCGTGAGGTTTTAAATGAACAATTTAGAGCTATTATAATTCGTTATATACCTCTCTGATTTTCCAACACAATAGGTTTAGCTCCATTCTATGACAATTTTATGAACAATTTCAGGTGGAGCTCTTTCTTTGGTTACGAGTCAATAGTGAAGCGGCCTCGCATTCCAATCTCAAGTGGTATCGCCCGAAACGGGGTGTTTGGTGGCAAACCGTCAATGACTAACAAACTCCAGATTCAGTAATAACAAATCACGTTTTGTTTTTCAATGCATCAATCACCAATCATTAACTGATAAGTTGGAAAACATATATCAAATAAGTTTCAAAAGCTTGGTTCACATTTGAAAATTCCACCGTAGACCCTTTCCCCACCAGAATAGTGGCAGCAACCTCATGGCCTTGACCTTTCTCGAAGTCATTGTTTACATTTGGAAAGATGCGACAGGAGAGCCACTGACAGTTTGCGCAAGGTTAACCTGATTGTATGACTGAGATAGTCTTTGATATCTAATTACTGGTACTGGTACAAAATTTAAGAGTAGGGGCGCTTTTGCTGTAACGAGAAGTCCGTGTTGTACCGAATTTAGATACTGTTGAATTTTGCGCCCTGTCAACTTGAGGATTTCACGCACCTCTACGTCTGCGTGCGACAGCTGTGGTGACTCTTACACACTCATGTGTGTACTTTGTGCTCAAATTCGATTCTACGGATATTATTTTCTACATTTTGGAAAGTGTTTTGTGACCTAGTGGCTTCAAAGTGTAGTGAATTCAAATTGAATCGGATTGGCTGGCATGTTCGCGAGTCTGTTGACAAAGAGCCAGATTTGTGGTGATATTTCCGAAAGGATGGATCAGGACACGAGGGTGTACCTCTGGCATAAACACGGTAAGGTAATTAATTATACTTTAATAGACTACTTTAGATCAAGCAGTGTAATGGATAAGAGGATCATGACTAAGCTAAATAACTTTTCAACGATATTATACATTTAGAAAAAAATATGTTGGGCTAAACAGAACGGTTTGCAGATTCTGTAGATCTAATTGTGTTTTACTACCGCTAAATTTGAAACAGTACAAATTTCAAAATATCATTTTGTTTGAATTGATAACCCAACTGTTTATTTATGTGGACGGAAGGCATTGGAATCTAAAATTTCTTCGGCGTTCGATGTTAATGCATCCTCCGTTACCGGATCAAGATCAGTGGCGATATCGTTGACGAAAGCTGATAATAAATTTAACACGGAAATTTTGTAGCAGTCTATTGCTGGATCTATTCTGACATAACATAGAATCAACGTAAACATATTTGTTTTTGCTGAATTTTTATTCGGAAAGCAGACGATGTTTTGATCTTGTTCGACTGGATATTTGTTTCCATGCTTTCGAAGTACTTTTGTATGTATAAACACCTATTGCTGTGATTTATGCAAGTAGTGAGTCGTGCCCGTCATCGCTTAATCCATCTTTAAAGACATATGTGTAATTTCCGACAGTAAAATCGCCGTAATTTATCGATGCATCGGTAGGTTGTTCGGTGTCCGCCATGTTAGTGGGCAGACAAAAATAGTGCATTACCGTAAACCATGTATGATTGCGCACGGAAAACAGAGACCTGTATAACGTGATTATATACCTCTGAATGACTTTAATTAACCAATCACAATCCAGTGTTTACTGAAGTCATGGTAGAATTCTGTTTATATCAACAATGTTAGTTTGATATCAAGTTTCAATACTTGTAGTCATAGTATGAAAGCGTGTCAGTTCCTGTTGGGAGATTGTTCCTTTGTTATTGAGAATTTATTTATTAACGAGGAACATCTATCCGCGACACATTTGCCGTGTCTATATTAGTTCCGGATTGAAGTAATTTGGAACTGATCATCGTTGACATTAGCGATGATTCTTGTAATGAAACTTGTTCACTGTCTCCGATAATGAAACAGCGTTGAAGTGTGGAATGATTTCCTTTCAAAGTATATTTCCACGGGTGGAAAGCCTTCATATAGAGTTGCGTCCCCTATGTGAAAGTGGATTCGAATCTCCGATTGAGTTGAGTATGCTTATTCGTATAGTGAGTGAGTGAGTTTAGTTTAACGCCGCACTCAGCAATATTCCAGCTATATGGCGGCGGTCTGTAAATAATAGAGTCTGGACCAGACAATCCAGTGATCAACAGCATGAGCATCGATCTGCGCAATTGGGAACCGATGACATGTGTCAACCAAGTCAGCGAAACTGACCCCCCGATCCCGTTAGTCGCCTCTTACGACAAGATAGTCGCCTTTTTATGGCAAACACATGGGTTGCTGAAGACCTATTCTACCCCAGATCTTCACGGGTGCTTATTCGTATAAAAGGCCATACCTACCATTGTACATATTCATTAAACATTCAGAGCA